CCCCACCCAAATACCAAACCCTCCCTCCCCGTTTCATGACAGCTGAAGCAGTAGCAAGGCAGAAGCTGACAATTACTCTATTTACTCTATTTAAATAGTGCTGCTCTTAAAGCTGCAAAAGGTTTTCAAATTTGGAACAGCTGATAAGGCTAGTATGACATATAAGGTCAAAGGCCCTTATCTGCCTTTTAAAAAGCTTACTGTAATGGCCTTCTGCGCTTCTATTGTACTTCTGGGAAATGGTTTCACCTTTAGGGTAGCATAAAAGAGTTGATTCACTTGGATATGTTATCATGTTATCCAACCCTAATTTGAGAATAAAACTGAAGCATTTTTTAAATGTTAAAACCTAATTGAAATAGAATTCCCATTTTTATGTTAAATGTTGATGGAAGGATTATTTAATTAGAAAAAAAAACATGAGTGGAAAATTCAGTTCTGTTCATTTTTAACATAAGGACTTTCTTAGTAGAGACATGCTTTGGGCTCATCCCTTACTGTTTATCTTTATCCATGAAGGAATCTCAGGCTGTTGGACAACATTGACTTGACTGATAGCTGCATGGCACAAGCTTGCTGTTCTCTATACCTGCTTTATCTTATTTGAAAATAGGAGAAGATCAACATTTGACTTCCATTTTCTTTTCCTTATTCTCTTTTAAACATAATTCAGTTTTGGTAATACATTTTCCTTGGAGAAAAAAAAATTACGATAAGTAATTTTATGCAGGCCTTACAAGTCCTAATCTAAAATAGTTTGAAGTTCTTTCTAAAAGCTTTATTTCAAACGTACAGCTCTATAATAAATGACACACAGTTTAAATATCATTAATCGAGAGGAATCCTAGACAGAGAAAGACTATAATTAAGTATATGACAACTTACTGTACATACATAATTAGCTTTTTATCATAATATGCGCTTTTTTATTTTAGGTATGGATCAGTTTTGCTCAGTTTGAACTCTCAGCAGATAAAAAGAACAATTTACCACGATGCCGGCAAATATATGAAGAGGCGAATAAAACAATGAGAAATTGTGAGGAGAAAGAAGAAAGGCTTATGCTCTTAGAATCTTGGAAAAGTTTTGAAGAGGAGTTTGGAACAGAATCCAGCAGAGAACGAGTAGAAAAACTCATGCCTGAAAAAGTCAAGAAGCGGAGAAAACTTCAGGCTGAAGATGGGGTAAGACCTCTACCTGGAAATCTGGCTTGCCGCAAGTACTTTATATAACAGTGATGGCTAACCTTTTTGTTCTTGGGTGCCAAAAATGCGAGCACATACGCGCACCGGCACCCATAAATGCAAAGCGCGCCTGCACATGCACGCACCCACACACCGTGGCACGACAAAACCGCACTCCACTAAAGCGCGCCCGATTAAACCGCGTTGCTGACGTCATCAGCAGGGCGACAACAGCGACCACGGGGAAAAACGGGTGCTTTAAATAGCGCTTTGAAAGCAAGCCGATTCAAGTTAAGGTAAGGGTTAGGTTTAGGGTTAGGTTTAGCGTTAGCGTTAGGTTAAGGGTTAGGTTTAGGGTTAGGTTTAGGATTAGGTTTAGGGGGGTTAGGTTTAGGTTTAGGTTTAGGTTTAGGTTTAGGGTTAGGTTAAGGGTTAGGATTAGGGTTAGCGTTAGGTTAAGGGTTAGGATTAGGTTTAGCGTTAGGTTAAGGGTTAGGTTTAGGGTTAGGTTTAGGATTAGGTTTAGGGGGGTTAGGTTTAGGGTTAGGTTTAGGATTAGGTTTAGGGGGG